TTATATTGATTTATATTTACGTGGTGGTGTTTATATTGATTTATATTTACGTGGTGGTGTTTATATTGATTTATATTCACGTGGTGGTATTCAATTATATTGAGTTATATTTACGTGGTGTGCCTTTATGTTGATTTATTTATTCATTTAATTATTTATCGATGCATTTCATTCGTATTTGTTGAATACTAGATCAACATGAATAACGTTATCAACAAAGATCAATCACGTGTAGAGACGAAGATGGAGAAGAATGAGCGGTATCGAAAACAATATCCGCTATTTATGATACCATCATATTCATATGAGGTTATTTTCATAAATAAATATACAACATCTGACACTATGAACAAGTTGATTCAACATGTACGAAATTGTAATGACTTTACTATTGATACCGAAGGTGAACGATCAACAAATGAATTGGCATTAATGCAAATCCAGACTATTCCTCGAAATGCACCATTAGTTGTAATCTTAATAGAAATTATGAATTTGCCATTAAATGACACAATTATTTATGTTAAAATTAAACAATGTCTAGAATTAATTTTCAAATCGGAAAATAATTTATATGGTTGGGGTGAATTGATTGTGGAATTACGTCCAGCTATTAAATATGAAATATTTAATTGGCCGATTAAATCAACAATATATGATATTCAACTTTATTTTCCACAATGGCACAAATGGGCCTTGTCTCATTGTGAGACAAGCAGCATGTCATCATCTCAATCACATGCTGTTGATAGTGATGTTGATGTCAATTCAAGTACAAGTATTAATCTATCATCTCAATGTAATTGTCACGCATCAAGTCCTTATCGTGCTGGAGAGAAATGGAGCTTGCAAGAAGCTTTAGTTCATACAGGTCAGATGTTTCTTGATAAATCAATGACACGTAATCACTGGTCATTAACGTTGGATCCAGATCATTCGATTTTATCAACACGTAAACGAAATCAAATGGTGTTCTATGCAATATATGATTGCTTCACCACAACATATTTAGCTTATCCTGTTCTACAATATTGGACTTTTCAACAGGTAGCTAAAATTAATATTGTTGATTTGTTTCAGACTTCACCATCATCATCATTGCATCATGGATACAACAACATTAAAAATGATACACAAGTTAATAAGCAATTGAAAAAGAATATTATAATTGATGGTGCAGTACTTATATCCGATGATAGTGATCAAAGTGATGAAGAAATATTTCTTAATCGATGTGATAATCAATTTAATAAAAAATTATTAAATGAAAATATTTCAGATGATAATAAAGAAAATGATGATAATTTAGAACAAATATCTGAAGATGATGGTGAAATCTATCTTGGTCAAGTAATTGAACCAAGTACTATTGATGGTGTTGATCCACCATTTGTTGATGGACTTGACGGTGTTGATCCACCATTTGCTGATGGAAATAATAAAATTAATTCAACAGTTGCTCGTCGTGAAACGCAGGGAACGGTTGACATTGCTCAACCAGTTCCTGATCCCATTAGACAACAACACCAGCAACCAAGAAAAAAAACTTTATCAGCTGAAGCAAAGAAAAAGAAAAACAAGAAAAAAAACGATCATCTTCGTCTGCTTCGGTTTCAACATGTTTTAAAAAGGTCATATTATTATCATTTTAGATTGAAATTAATCCGAAAAATAATTCGTTATTATGGTGTATCATTTCGTCATGTCAAATTTCAAGGAGATGAAGTGGTTATCGGTGTAAAATCTGATAAAAATCGTCGACAATATGAAGATATTTTACCATCGTATTGTTTCGACAAGAAAAATTATTGGCGATTCAAGTAATGAACCTTTTTGTTTTTTTCTTTTTGTCTCTTCTTGTTTCTTCTTGTTAGTTTTTTTTGGTGAACTTCTTCATTATTTTTTTTCTTTTTCTTCTCCTCCTCCATTTTCTTTCAAAAAAGTTTTTGTTGTTATCAAAAATCTTTTTTCTGGAGAGGGAAGGATGTTATGATCGTGACATCTATTTTTCTACTTTCGTTATTTCTTTCGT